CCTTTTTTCTTTTTTGCATATCATTTTGTGCTTAAAAAACTATGTTTTCCGGTCTAAAAACCGAGTTTTACTGACTTTTAATAATAACACTGCTTACGGCCAGCTTTTTTTTAAAAAAATGTAACTTGACGCAAAATTTTGAGATATGAACAGAATAGTATGCGTTTCGTGCAATTTTTAAAATCTCAACAAGTAAAATTTGTGTACTGAATGTGACAATAGAGTAAAAGCGGTTCATATCAGAGTGGTTAATCATCAAAATTTCTTATCAAATGTCCATTTAAGGTCAGTTTTGAAAGTTTTTCTGAAACACAACGGGAAGAATTTATTGAACTCTTTAGTAGCGATGCAGCAAAAATTTATATGTTTAATGTCAGTTTTATTATTTTACATCCAAAATTTTAACTTCTAAAAACTTATTGTTCAAACTAAATAGCGCCAAAATTCAAAGTTTTAAAAGCGTAAGAAAATAAACTCAAATGTATATAATAATTCGCTGTGCAAACAAGTCCAATCAATTTGTGGTCTCAGATAAAACTGACTACAACGCCACTTACTCAACAACAGCTCATCAACAAAATTTCAAGCAATCAAAACAGACCCCACTTCTTACCTAATGACCAAACTCAACGCAATTATGAAAAAAAATCAACAAAATCATATCTCAAGAAAAAATCCGATTACTCCAAGGCAAATATTCACCTGGATAATACAACTATGACAACATCAAAACGCACAAAAACAACAACTCCTTCAAGCTATCATCAGCCAAAAGTCGACAGTAACACAACATATTGCCAAATATCTGAACAAAATTTTAGTCCCATACACTACAAACAATCACCAGTCCTCTTGTGATTTTATCAATCTATTGAAAACTAACAAATTAATGCTTCTCAATGACACAAGTGATATTATCATCAACAGTGTTTATCACTCAGACATGGTCCCCTTAGAAATACTAAAACACATCTCAAATCTCTTCTCCAAATCTGCACCACCGAAGCACCTTTCCACACCTCCCACAGACAAGCTATACAAGCAAATTGACAGTATAGCCATGGGCTCACCACTCGGTGTCCTGTTTGCAAATTTCTTTTTAAGACAACTTGAGAGCAAAACGTTTAGGGACAATCCGGAATCGAAACCAAACATCTAGACCAGATATGCTGACAATATCTTTGCATACAATGATCCTGAACAAGTCAACTTCGCAAACAATGATTCTGAACAAGTCAACCAGCTAATAGCAACCCTGAACAAATCAAAATTGAATTTCACCATCGAGCACAAAAGTGAAAATTCATTGCCATTTCTGAATGTTTTGGTAACGCATGACGAACACAGATTTAAAACTACCGTAAATGTCAAAGCAACAAACAAAGATAATTGTTTAAATGGGTTAAATGAATGTATGGAACAATTTAAAGTAAGAACAATAAAATCCTTTGTGAACCGTGCATTCACGCATTCATCCTCAACTGATGATCGCAATACGGTACTGAAAAGAATTACTAAACTACTAGTAAGCAATGGTTACAAAAATCATCCATTGAAAGCACCATTCAACAAAGACTACAGAAAGATCAATATATTCAAAAACAGCAACAACAATGACATAATCCTATATTACAGAAATCATATGTCAATGGCGCATCAAATAGACAAAATCGTCTTCACACAAATTATAAAAAAATCAAGGATACTAATAAAATTAAACTCAGGATATATTACAACAATCGTAAGACATTACAACTGGTCCAAAAGAACAACCGCACTCCTAAAGACGATTCTACTTTGAAGCGTAAGCATGTAATATATAAATTTAAATGCCCTATTGACGACTGTGCGCGTCAACAACATTCGTATATTGGTGTTACGACCACTTCACTATCAAGATGTCTCACAATGCATACACAAAGATGAGCTATCAAATCTCACTTGCAATCAACACAAGCACTTCCAATAACCCGCCAAATTCTTGACGATAACCCAAAAAATAGTTTATCAAAACACCAACACAATACATCTAAAAATTGCAGAAGCTGTCCTAATAGATATCAATAAACCCCAAATAAACATACAAGAATGATATCATCATTACCAACTCGACGCCTTAATACTAACTCCAATAACAATGAAGAACAAAAAAGCGACACCAACAAAGAAAATAAAGAATATGACACCTATTAATTAACTACCTTTCCATTGTCTAACAATTAATTAACCTTAATTAATAAATTGACCAATTAATTAACTACCTTTCCTTTGTCTAAGAAACTATATAAACCAAAGCAGCACTGAAGATGATTTGTGAAAAATTGAAATAGGCCTATCTGCATGATGAATTTGGATATTAACAGTTTCATTTGTTAATAAATTTGCATGATGAATATGGATAATTCTATTTTCAACAAAATGAACAATATCCAAAAAATTCAAGAAAAATTGAAAAGACAAACTTTAAGGGCGGAGCGATGGTGTAATGGCTAAGGTGCCTGGCATTGTTGATACAGTGTCCGGGTTCGAATGCAAAAAGATCCCCGCCTATCACATGCAAAAGTGTGTGATGCGATGACTCATGTGCATTTATGCACTGTGTGTTTGTTGTAATAATGATAATGCACCTCAGCCATGGCGCTATATAAAATGACATTATTGTTATTATTATTATTAAACATAAATACTTAGTATAAACATATATATATATATATATATATATATATATATATATATATATATATATATATATATATATGTATGCATATTTTTCTAACGGTAGATCGTAAATCATTGTCAAGTTTCTTGAGTTCAAAACCAAAATTGTTATTTATTTTAAGCCTGATAAAACATTTAAGCATCTTAGATGGTAAAGGAATATCGAAAAAACCTTTTTTGTTCTATCATTGTTGGATCTACCGTTAGAAAAATTGAAAAATTAAACAAGAAGCTAACTAACGTGATACTTGCTGTGATTTTCATCAATAATATATATATATATTATTAATATATATATATATATTATTCAGACTTAATTTTGTTGATAAAAATTTATTAGGACAAATTGAAAAATTGAATATAAGTTGATAAAGTTAATAAATCGGTGGAATTTATTACATATTGTCAAGAATTTGGTCATCTACCAGCATATATATATATATATATATATATATATATATATATATATATATATATATATATATATACTAAACAAAAACATTACTATACATATAATATTTAATACTGTATGTTAGTTGGCAAATAACAAATCAAACATAATAAAATCAGAGCCAATTTGAGTGGAAAACATTTTTTAAATGTAAAGGAGAGCTAAGACTGGCAATTATATCATTAAAAGATTCACAAAACAAAATTTGTTGCCAAAGAGACATTGCAAACTTGTCTAGCTCCAGCATTTATTCATTTAATTATTGAAATTCACTATTCCATATTTCTCAGATGTATGTTCTTTTCAGTATTTTACAATGGTAATAGTAACAAACACACAATATATGTAAATACAAGTGAACTGATGCACCAGTTTGTGATAGGCAGGTATATCTTGGCATTCCAACCCACTCACTGGCACTGATGATGTTGAACATCATCAGTGCTGGGCCATTATGATTTTTTATACCATGAGAATGGTGCTTCCCTATCATAATTCTCTTATATCAAACTTATGACAATGCCAATATTATTGTTTATTGTCTTAATATTTAGTATTGTATTCACATTCAGTATTTCAGTATTACTTCATTAAATTTAAATTAGAAGCATTTTATTAAAATAAGCTATTCCAATTAAAAAATTAGTAGATTGATAACGCTTATTTTTTAAATGATGTAGAAAACAATTAATTTTTATTTTTAGGCACAAAATTATTAAAAAAATTTCCACAAATACTTTACCCAAAGTCATCATCCAACGATTTGAAAAAAAATTTATATGTTGGCCGATTTAAAGCATTCTTGAAGTCTCCAAGAGTTACTTTTTCCGGAGGTATGGGCAATTTAATTAAATAAGGAGTTTCTTCCTCATCTATGTGGTATATAACTTTTGTTTCTTCTACTGACATTTTACTTGACGGTCATTTAAGTTAAACTTTAATTAGGAAGATATTTGAAAGCCGATATTAGTTTTATTTGTAATAATGCTTAACTTAGTTCAGTGTAAATAATATAAATCATTCGTTCGACGTATAAACAGTTTCACTAAGAATGTATATATAAAATATAAATGAAAAAACGATACAAAAGTTAGCTACGATTAAAATGAATAAACAAATAGGCCTTTGCGTTATAAAAAATGCATCCAAAGATCAGCGTTTTTCTGTCTAGGGGTAATTAGAATATTTTCACCAAAGTAATTAGAATATTGCGGCTAAGTAATTAACATATTTAATATAATCTATGTTCCTTTAAGTTATCGTAATACTTCATTGATACTTTAGACTTCTATATAGGAAACCTGGACGGTCAACTGAAATGAAAATTTCCTAAAACCGACCCACGGAGGCGATATAAATTAATGTTTTATGCAATGAGGTTAACTTTCATTGTTTCCTTATTGTGAAATTTACTTTCGTGCCTTGTGCTCGTGTTGTTTTGTAATCGTTTTACTCATGAATATATATATATATATATATATATATAATATCCATGGTTTTATTCTTAAAATTTTACTGAGAATTTGCAGTCTGATGTTATCTAATCAAGATTTGCTTGGATAAGGTAGACGGCTTGCAACAATTACTACATATCTTGTAGACAAGCTTATCAGAGTAATAAAAAAATTTGTGCATTATCATTACTTAAACATTCCAAATTTATATTAAAAGAGATTGAAAAATTTGTCCTGGATAATAATTAAAATAGTTTTGATAACTTGAATGAGATTGCCGATGAAATGTCTGAATGTATTGAAATTAACAAATTAAAATAAACGAGGATGAATATTGTCATATGTTTGTGGTGCTGTCATCAAATTTGTCTGCAATTTCACCAATCCTTATCATGCCACAAATACTTAATCTCAGACGACCAAACAAATGATGAACCAGATTTTTCATCAAAACATCTTAAACAAGTCAATCGAGGTGATTTGCTCATTCCAACTAAATACGCCTGAAAGGGTGTTTGGTTTATTTAAAAACATTAGAAAGTCTAACGACCCATTTAATAACTTTACTATTTGCTATTTCATAAAATGACTGAACGATCAATAATTGAAAACAAACTTGATTCTTTCAAGTGTTTTTCATTTTTTTTTGAGATAATAACCATGGTAAGCAATTGTATTTATCTAAATCTCTTTTGATAGTTTTAGTAAAAATTTTGTAAAATAATTTTCTGAAGTTAATATTGTGAAAAATGTAAATAGTAAAATAAAAATTTTAAATTGATTAATGCCAACAATTCGGTAGAATTCATACAATACCGTATTAAATATGGTCTCCTTCCAACACACACACACACACATATATATATATATATATACACACACACACACACACACACACACATATATATATATATATATATATATATATATATATATATATATATATATATTGTTAAATTTATATGCCCATTCTGCATTTAGTAGTTTTTTAAAGACAACTTCAACACGACGTAAATTTTTATACTCGTATTTATTTAATGTCATAATTTAATTAATGTTGTAAGTGTCAGCTGACAGCGCTGTTTCGGCTATTTAACCATCGTCGGAGCTGGATTTAATATTTTAAGATGAAATTAAATTAAGATTATTAAAATAATATTAAAGTAAATATTGAAATTATATTGGGTTTTAACAATAGTGTGAAACAATTTAAAAGATTTAAAAAACATATGAAACGTACCTTTGAAACAAGGTTAAATAAAGGAATAAACGTGAAAATGAAATTGATAATTAAATAATTAAGACGAAGTTAAATAAGGTAAAATTAAGTTATTATATATTAAAATAATGCAATTAAATTATATTAAATATGTCTAATTAAAATTCAAAACAACAATTTTATAAATTTAAAACGGTAGAAAGCAGTGTGTATAGTAAGAAGCTATGAGCTTATATCGTGTTATTTCATTGTGTGGAATAGTAAGAATATATATTGTGTGTATAGTAAGAAGCTATGAGCTTATATCGTGTTATTTCATTGTGTGGAATGTATCGAGTAAATATATCGTGAATGGAAATATCACTTGCATACGCATAACCGCATTATAGTGGAAACATAGTGGAACATACATGTTCGTTTACACAGATAATAACAAAACTATTAAATATTAAAGTTTGGCGCATGCGTGGGCACACAGATAGACTAAACGTTTGAATCAAACAAAGTGGCAAGCGACGTTACGACGTAGGTCCGTGGTCGACAAGTAGCCCCATTGGCCTGATTTAAACCTACTGGATCCAAACCAGGCTGATAACTGTGTCGTTGTACTGTACCATCGCCAGCTCGGACCAAGTTCGTACGTAGTGGGGAGGTGTTATAGTATTGGGAGAACAGTTGAAGGGTGTGGTCGAAGGTGTTGATTTGTTTGTTGAGAGATGGCTTGTTTTTGTGTATGTATAACGCTTCTTTTATTCTAAGCCTGATTGGATATGGTTCGCGATCAATTACCTTGGTACCATTCACCAGTGTAGCTCGCGTAAGTTGCTGACTGTGAGCAATCAACATATGGTTCTTGATTGCTCCGTTCTGTAGATGCATCGTTAGTCTACGTGAGAGAGTGGTTCGAGTGTGGCCAATATATGTTTCCACAACGCTGTGTGGCAAAGGGCATGTGAATTGGTACACTAAATTTGCTCTCTGAAGACTGTCGCTAGGTTGGTTGTTGTTGTTTCTAATAATCAAACTGGATGTTCGTGTAGTGTTGTAGTATATTATTAGTTTAAGTCTAAGGTTTTGGTCGACGGTGGTGATGTTAGATTTGATGATGTTTTTCAGCTGTGTTTCGTCTATCTTATAATTGTCATGCATTTGGTTTTTATAGTATAACGATATATCTGTATTTGTTGGTTGTGCTGGTGTCGGTTGTGCTGAGTTGTTAATTTTATCCAGGTACTGCTTTGTTACCGTATCTATTAATTTGTTGGGGTAATTGTTGTTAACCAGGAGCTGTTTGATACGAATAAATTCGTTGTTAAATATTTCATTATCGGAAGAGATTTTGTATGCACGATGAATTAGGTTATGTACGACATTGTTCTTGTATTTATCCGGACAGTCAGAGTTGAAATTTAACACTTGACCGGAATTAGAGGGTTTAACGTAAACCTTAGAAGTGAAGCAATTGTCATGTTGTATGATCAAGCTATCTGAAAATGGTAATTTATTGTCGTTGCTGAATTCAACTGTGAAATTCAGGTGCGATCTATTTTGGAAGATATTCTGTAAATTGTATACATCCGTTACTGAATTACATACGACAAAAATGTCGTCAACATAACGAGCGTAGATTAGTGGTTTGCTGTCGGGTTTAGCAAAAATCTGATCGGTTTAAACAGTCATATCAGACGAACGTATAGTCAGCTGTAAATCTATAATCAGCCGTATAAATTATTCTCACATAGATATATAACAAAATATACAAGTCTTTGCGTTACTAAAAATATTTTCGTTATGAAAAACATCTCCCAAATTTGTAAGTGATAAATAATTTAATTCTACTAACGGGGTCTTCATCTTTTTTGTGCCTGTTTCTTTTAGAAGATTGGCTACCATCGACCTCTACAAAACCCGAATTTTTAACATTTTGTAGTAGTTGAAATGTTGTTATATTCAAAAAGTCACACTAGAACTTCACGAACGTAATTCGTTGCTAGATTTTTTCCACTCTTTCCAGTAGTTGTTAGATTTCCAAAGTTTTAATTTTAGAATATGCATCTTTTGCCATAGCGTCCCTTTGTTTGATATTCACATTCCATTTACAACTTGAGGTAATCAGACTTCCGAGATAATTGAAAGTTGACTTGTTTCATCTGATTACCATTAACGTTTATAGAGCAGATCGAGGCGGTTTTGTTTTTACTGATAACCCTGCACTCCTTTTTGTTGATGTTAATTAGCAAGCCATTTCTTTCATTTTTAAAAACCAGTTTGAATACAATTGTTCGAAGTTTTTCTATTGATTCCTTTTAAAAGCTGTATCATCAGCAATGTTTACGCCTCCTATTGATATTCCAAATAATCTATCTTTTTTATGATGATCTCATTATAGAGATTGTACAAGTCTGGAGAGAATACACAGCCTTGCTAACATTTTTCATTATTTTGAAAAAACTTGTCATCTTGTTACCAACTTTTAACGCTGCTCTTTGGTCCCAATAAAGGTTTTTGATAACTCTCGTGTCTTTTCCATCAATGTCTAAATTTTCTAATATTTCCATAAACTTTACGTGTTTCACGCTTTCAAAAGCTTTGGAGTAATCAACAAAACATATAAACAAGTTTGGCTGATTATTGAGCTAACGGTAAATAAATTGAGCTATCAGTTAAAAAAATTTAACATTCTAATATTTGATATGAGAATGTTATTACCGTTGATGGTTAATAGGGTTAATACACATAACTAGAATAAATATAACGGCCTTCGCTCACCTTTAACGGTCAAACAAGGAGCTTATTTTCGGAGGGGATTTGGAAGGTAATTTTTTATCGTTCGAATCCAAAATTACGATCGTATATTTACTAATTTCGAAATATTGTTTTTATTTAAAATGTTAAAATTAAAATTTTTTTTAATTGTTATTCAATGTGATAATTAATTACTTTTGCTTAGTATAAATTTTAAAAAATAAAATTGACATTACCGAAAATAATTAAAAGTTGAAAAAATTGAGGTTCTTTGCATATCCCTGCTACAACCCATAAAAAAGTGTTGTATATTGGTAAATAGGCTTCCCATTAGGACAGGTTAATACATTCTAATCTCACTTCTAAGTTTTAAGTGTTTTTTTACATTCGCCTCCTACCTATCTTACAAATTAAATTGCATGGCTGGCGGGAAAGTTATATTTTCAGTTGCTAGGCTTTTTTATGCCGGAGAACAACCAAATTTGAAGTAACAAAAATTCAAAACAGTCCGATGATTTCTCCCTCAGGCCTCAGGTCAGCCAACAGCTTATAATAGTGAAAGAACAAGATACCATGTCCGCTGATTCTTCATGGTTGTACGTTTATTTGTGTGAAACTAGACCTTTTGAATTTTGCTTCATTCCGAGATACGTCCGCATATTGGACAAAGTAACACGCATTGATTCAAATTGCGATAAAGACCTTAAAGTTCATATTTCTGACGAGATGTTATGTGTCAAAGCTATTTTCAAAAGGTCGGCCATTGAAGAGGCTCTCAGTCTTAGGAGTGATAATTTTTTGAATTTGAATAAACTCTATAAACACAAGATTTTATTAGAAATATATTATCCATTTTACACAAAACGGCCCTTTCGAGATTCACTTCAGTACGAAATGAAAATAGTTGTCTGCAAGTTTCTCATCTGTGAGGAAGAAGTAGTATTCTGTAGCATGATCATCACACCATATTGCAAGTATCAAATGTTATATGAGAAAATGAAAAAGAGAATTGAAGATAATCCAGATCTTGTCACTAATCGTCAGTTTGGGTCCAACTATTATTTGGATATATTTCAGGCTGTTCAACAAGCAAGTTGGTATTTCAATGAATGTATAATTATAATTTAATCCAATGTCTATTTTAATTTTTTTATATAGTTTATTTAGTTAAAAAAAAACTTCACAATTATTTTATTTTTTTTGGCTTAAGTATTAAGTAAAAGAATTTAAATTCCAAAATTTATTAGCATAAATGAAATTCTTATTTTTTTTTAGAGTTTCAATGTAGGAAGGGTCTGGTGAATAATTGTTCACAATTTTTTTTTGACGATGCTCCTTGGAACAACTTACAAAAAAATGTTCTCAATGTACCTTGCATAAATTTGGCTAAGCAAGCAGAGATGCCCACAACTTTGTCAGATCAAGCAGGTCAATTGAAATCAACAGTGAACAAGAAAAGGTCTAATAATAAAGTTAACAAAATAAACATGAATCAAGAAATCACTAACATGTCACAAACTAAAAACTTTGAATTTATAGCTCCATCACATTTGGTCAGCAATGTTTTAAAATGGAATTCTTTACAAACAAAATTGAACAAAGAAAAACTATGTTTTAAATTTAATAATATTCATAATCATCAGTTGTCTTCAAATTCTAATGCACAACAGACTGAAAACTATGACATTGCAACTACCCATAATGGCTTTATAGAAGGCACTGGGAATCTTATTGCTAATAGGAAAGATGTGAGAACAGACTTATCAATGTGTTTATCACAAGAACAGATTAATTCAACGCCAGTTCATTCGCAAGACAATCCCTGCTTCGAACCAGATTTAATGCCTTCTCCATTAATTCAGGGTCAGGATAAACATGTTGGCATCTTATTTTCGTTGCCTCTGAAACCTCTTAAAAGACAAAAGGAGTTTATGTTTCCTGAAAACAAAATTTTGTTAAATTTTGGCTCTAATGAAAATAATTCTTTGGGTTTTGAAGTGCCAAAGCACATTAAAAAATTAAACCTTGATGAAACACATACTGAAAAACTTCATTTTCCTGATGTTGTTAGTTGTAATTTTAACATTAATAGCAGCAATGCTGGTGGGCGACTGAAAGGTGACATCATTTCTCAAATGACTGCACTTGAAACCAAAAAAGATGAAAATCAAATCAATAGAGGAGGTGTTTATGTAAGTAATGATAATATCAACAATGATCTTTGCATGAAAAATAACCTCAAGCAATCGCATTCTGTAAATATTACAATTAAAAATAACATCAACGATTATAAACACATCAAATTCCTTAGTGGTGCAAATCTTTTGGGAGAGGAATCTTTTGATGATCATGTTGAAAGCAACGACATTATTATGAATGATTTTCATGATACAACATACGTTTCTTGTAATGAAAATGGTATTGAAAATTTATCCAACATCAACAATACCAATGAAGTTGTATTGAGTGGTAATATTAACAAGGATTGCAATGGCAATAATGAGACTGGATTAAATGTTGATACTTTTAACAGAATATGCGCCATAAAAACTTCTTACCATACTGGTACCACAGCTACTGAAAGTCTTGTTATTTCAAGTGACAATTATACCTCCACAGCTAAAAATCTTTCCTTGACTTACATGCAAACTTGTATCACAAATAAAGCTTATGCTTCCAAGAGAATGAGTGGATTTAAAAAAAATTATTGTTCTTTGCTTAATCACCAGGAAATCAAGTGCTTTACTGCAAATGAAATTTTCGAAAATTGTGTTAAGAGACATCCATCATTGCTACTTAATAGAGTAAATTTAAACATGTATCCACAAATCGGTTTTAATTTTCATAAATCTCGACAACAAAAACAAAAGTTTGAGTTAAATGCTGTTGAATTGCAATGTAAGGATAGTAATAACACATTTGCTGCAATGAATACTGAGGCTGCTAGATACACTTCAACAACTTCAACTGTTGCTACAACTACCTCAGCTAGCGCTACAGCTCTTTCAGCTGCTGTTAGAGTTACATCAACTGCTTCTACAACTACTTTAGCTGTCGCTACAACTACTGTTGCCAGAGCTACATCAACTGTTGCCAGAGCTACATCAACTACTAATACAACAGTCTTAGTTGCTGCTACACCTACTTCAACTGCTGTTATGGCTATTTCAAATGTTGCTTACATTAATGCAACTGTTTCTACAACTGCTTCTGCAGATACTTCAACTGCTGCTACAGCTTTTTCAACCGCTGCTACCTCTACTTCAATTGTTGCATCTCTAGCTGCTGCTATCATTGCAACAACCGTATTTGCTGCAACTACTACGACTCCTACAACTTTTGCAACAATTGCAACTTTTCCTACTCTTACAACTTCTACAACTCATACAGCTGTTGCAACTACTGCAACATTTACAACTGCAGCCGCTACTAAACTTTCTACATTTTCAACTGTTTCAACTGCACTCACCAATGCTGCCGTGTTTGCAGTTTCTACAAGCACTAGTGTATTGGCCCCTAATGTCAGCTGGTCCGATGTTTCTTTCAGTAATTTTTCAAAAATTAAACTATCTATTCCAACACCAGAGATTTCATTTCCTGTTTATCAAAAATGTAACAACAAATTTTCAACAAAATTCAACTCCTCCTATAACCAATCTACCGTTAAAAAGAATAGCATGAACGATGAAATGGATGCATCTTTCCTTGAAACACCGTTGCAGGCGTCAAGCAACAACAAACATTATTGTAGTGCAACAGAGACAAATTGCAGCCACATCAGTATTGATGCCAGGATCATGCAACATTTACATAACCAACAAAAGGACATTAATTTGACAGGGTCACTTAATCAGTTTAGCTATTTATATTGCACTACAAATAATGTTGATTTTGGCGATGCAAAAAAAACATAATATGAATCGTGACAGTTGCGATAACATCATCACTTATGTGATTATATTATTTTTAAAAATTTAACATTCTATTGTTGCCTTTTGTGTTAATAATTAAAAGCTACAATATGGCTGGATGTAATTTATAAATCCAGAATTTCGTTTTAATATAAAATAATCACGTAGTATTTGTCCTTTTTGGTTGAGAAAGAAAATTGTGATTGTCACGTGAGACATGAGATGCATTAAAATTTAATCTATTTTATAATGTGGAATTGCCTTCAAACGGATGTGAAAAAAGCAAAGGTAAATTTTGGTCATTGACTCCAAAATTTAGAATAGTAATAACAGACTACAGCATAAGGGAAGAAATGACACTAAACACGCTTCTTTCGCTTAGGAAAAATTAATACGAGAAGTAGAACAAGTCACAGGCCTAAAAAGAAAAGAACTGGAGCAGATCATGTTACAGCAGAAATAATACATGCAATGAGTGAAGTTGCAATTGAATTGTGTAAGAAGAATATGACCAAGACATAAGAAAGGCTGTCGTAGTACTAAAACACAAAAAGAAAGAATATTCTTTTAGTTTTTAATTATTATTTAGTTTGTTAGTAGGTTTGTTTCATAGTTTTGCATGTGAACAAAATTTTGTTTTAACGCTAAACATTGTTTATCAAAAGTTATCATTAAGTTATTGACGATCACATCTAAAATCATAAAAAAATTGTACTGTTGTTTATTTGAATTCAAATTTACAAGGCATTCATTCGTGCCTCTTTAAATGTCACTGGAAAAGGTGATAACTATAGCGGTTGCGCTTATGTTTGAGAGAACACCGAACCAAGAAGAGCAGTAAGCGGGAGAAGAATAATAGTATTCGTTTGGATAGACTGGACACGTGTTTCGTCCCTACGAGGTACTCATCAGCAGTCCGAATACCTATCAGAATAGTTATCGCAGTTTCTTATATAGCCCGAACAAATCACCTTGTTAGCTCATGGTGTTTTTATTTATTATTGAAGGTTGTTAGTTTTTTATTCGTTAGGATTTCAATCCGACATAACTAAAGCGATAAGGTTTGTTGAGGACCAGCCTATCAGTTTTATTTTGGGTAGTTTTTAGTTTCTTTTTTGATAGAGGTACGTGAGGCTTTAGATAACAGAGAATTGCAGTTGTCCATTTTGATAGGACCACCAGCAGCTGCAGCGACATCACATGTAATCGTATATCTGACTCTGGTGCGTTTTATTGCACAGAGATGATAATTAAATGATTTGATGATTTCAGATAGGTGTTTTTCAAAAGTTAGTTGTTTGTCAAATGTGATGAGATTGGCAGGTAATGTAGATCCTGCTATGTCCAATTCTTTGAGCGAGAACTTCGACAGCTTTTCGGACTTATTAAGTTTGAGAAGGCTGTTGTTCACATGCAAAAAATATTGTAAGATGGATGTTATTAATTTTTCTTGGACAAAAGAGTTGAACGAATAGACCAACCTTTTGAAATCCAGATCGTTATAGTGCTGGGAAAGATGATTGTGAAAAACGTTAGCCAAGGGCCAGAAAAACGCAGATTTGAATCAGCTTTTTCAAATTAGAACCCTATGTAGTTTGCTCTTGATTTAAGAATTGCAGAATTTCTGGATAAAATTTTTGCATCCCAGTAGGTGTGTTTGACTGCTGAAGAATCATGGCACAGGCAAGGGGTCTCTGGGTTGAGACAAAATTGAATAAAATCTCCATATAAATTAATGACGATTTTTACTAAATTATTCAAAAAATAAAATTAAGAAAAGTTTGTACAAAACCACTGATTATAATTGCTAAATGTGTTACAAATTGTAAGATAACAAAAAATAAATAAATTCACCTGGTCAGTGATCAATAGCTATCGATTGTTCTATTTTTGATTGATGTTCTGTAGTTGATTGATAACGATGATGGTTGGCAAGGAGTAACTATTGTTCTATTGTTCCCTCAATGAGAAGGTCTAGCATCCAGAACGCAGAACCCCTGCACAGGTAACTACGCGACAACAAGCAATGAGCTCGAAGAGTTTTGTTAGCCGAGGAGCTCCTGGTATCACAACACGAATGGCAACAACTATTTACATCAGGAGTGGGCAAACATTTTGCTGTGAGGGCCGCATTTTGAATGGTCGCATATGTACTTCAATAGCACCTTTTTTGGTCATAAAATCTGGCTGACGACCTTTCTTTGGCAAACAAGGCTTTGCGGGGCGTAATTTGCCCACCCCTGATTTACATCGTTTCTGGCAACAAACTTGTGAAAACATTGTACGCGACATTTAAACGAACCATAAATAAATAAACTAATTTAATAATTTTACATGATCAACATTATCACTAATAAATTAGCTCCACGAGAAAATTATAATAAACAAAAATCATTAATTTAAACCTTATATTTCCTGCCCTGCGTTGGCACATTTACTCCTTAACTCACGTATTCATCCCATCTGCAATATACATTACATGCAGACACGCACACGTGTATAAAAGCATACCCGTGAAAATAACCTCTACCTACCCTACAGTCATGAGTTTGTCGTATACCATACATAACTATTACTATTACCATTATTAATTTCATTATTCGTTATAAACATTGGCTGTGAGTGCGCCAGATGTCACAATCACCATTACAGGCATAAACATCAACGACGTTGAAGCTCATTAATTTCAACCATTAACATGAACATGTCATGTATTCCTATTATTGTAACTAAATTTTAAAGCTGCCCATATGTCTCAAGCACAATGAAGAAATGTTTCATTCTTAGGAATATCAATTTAAAAGTACAAATATTGCAAAATTGTAAACTATTTTTTTACAATGACAAAAAACAAACAAAAAGCAGATCTAATTATGAAATAAAAATTTTATTTCGGGGGAGCTTTAAACTTTTGCCAACGCCCATGAATTTTGTTTTGATCTATTTTCACATTTAATTCTTTTATTGCTACAAGTCGGGTTAGTTTTTTGTACTTTGTATTTTTTATATTTAGTATTTATATTTGTATTGTATTTTTTATTTTTTTTGTTTGTATTTTCTAAAATATTGTTGTAACCTTGTAACTGCCAGCACCAATGTTATAACTTCAGTGATCTCTATATTTCCAACACCAGTGTTGTAGCTTCCAACGATCGTCAAGCATTCGTTATTTCGTAGATTCAAGATTTCCGATAGATGAATACAACTGCTTCAAACGCAAACTTTGTTGAACGTTTATTTGAATGCCAACATTAATAGAAACAATAATCTGATCCAAGTAACTACATAAATCACATTTACGACTTCGCCTCAACCCTCGCTAAAAACCTGACTGCAAACCTGACTGTCAACCTCCCTGCTTTCTGTATCTACGCAGGAACTATCCTAAGCGGTAGATTTTTACGATCAAAAGATTACAAATATCATTTTACGATCCTCTATCCAAAGATTACAAGTATAGCAAAGATAACAATAATTAAGATTATAATATAGCGCAATTTGATCATTCTAAAAAAAACAAAATACTGGCTTAGCCCACAGGCCGTATTAATTTTTGGAGTGTAACATGTGAGCACTGAGCAGTTTCAGTTATGATTTTAGAATGTAAACAAAAATAATTCATGCAGTTGAGATTTAAAAAAATAATTTTTTTTTAATTTTCAGCTGCTCATACGAATTAATAAAATTGTCACACAATTGAATGGTTTTCTTAAGAATCTATCTGAGTTTTGATAAACATCTTGACAGATCATGACTTTTGTTGTACATAATTTATTTTTATGAATTACTCATAAGCTGAGCGCAAGCTTTCACCATCATAATATTTCCAACGAGCAGATAATTCTTATGGACTTTGTACCATTGTTGTGTTGTTGCCTAGTTAATTCATTGGAGTTTCTCATTCTCTTCAAACAAACAGTGAAAACGCAAATGGAATTTAACAAAGGAAAAACAATTTAATGAACAAATTTTGAATATTAACTTAAAACTGTAATTTTAAATATAAAAACTTTCTTCAAGTGCATCAAGAGATCGAAAAATGTTTAAACTGGCAGAATCACTTACCCTTTCACAAAATGCAAATGAATATGACATTTTAATCGAGGAAGGTCAACAAGAAAATGCAAACACACAAGATGTTCGAGCTACCGTGAAGACTTCTCACGGCGGTAATAAAGAAGTTAAAGTTTAGTAAAAATTATTTTCCCCATCCCTATCCCCAACGAACCAAAATCTCCGGAACCTTAAAAATTGTTTAAATTCAAGATCGACTTTTAGGTCATTAATAAAATTCAATTACATGTTTTCAGATAAAAATGCAACCAGCGACGTACAAGATAAAACTGCCAAAAAAATTTGAAGACTATCCAAAGAAAACAGCCGTTATTATTAGTGTCCTGCATTTAATAATTGGTTCAATATCATTGGCCATATTCATTTTCAACCGGACAAGTTTGAGGGGTATCAAAATGTCTAGCAAATACCTTGATTATTACATGTTGTTCGGTAATGAACTGTGGTCCGGAATAGCGGTAAATTTGTTTTTATAAATTTATGGTTTTTTGAAGATATTAAAAATATCTATTTCAATTGAACTTGTTTAAACTTTTTTCAAGTTTATATTGACAGGAATATTTGGATGCATTGTCTGTTGCACACTGAACAAAAAATTAGTGAGCGTTTTTTTGAAAATTTATGATCTTTTATTACTTATTAAATATTACATAAAATGTTACATTAGGCCATTGCTTTTGCTATCACAAACATCAATTCTGCACTTTTGTCTTTTTATTCCTTTGCGTTCATTGTGAAGGACATCCACTTTGTGGCGGTATCTGACAGGTGGGATTATATCGACTCACCGAAGGTTTTTTTAGTTGTTACCCGTTTAAGTTATATTTTGAACCAATATTTTTTTGATGAACGTCATATTATATTAAATCGAAAAATTTTCAACTTTATTATGATTTATCGGTTTTGCATCTCAAATTAATTTTTTAGTATATACGTGGAATAGTCATCGTAAATTCTGTGATTGCCATCATGCTACTGTTTGAGTTTGTTGTTGCTCTTTCTGGCAGTGTCATATTTAACAAAATCATCTGCAAAGAAGCCCAAAAAACGATTGAGGTCTGTGTATAAATATTAATTAATTCATTCATTCACTTCGTTGTTTTGAATTCAAAACATTTAATAACTCTTCATTATTAACATAACATTCAGGTAGAGATAGAAGATTCGGATGTACAAAATTGAAATTTCGTAGCAGCTTTTACTATGCACTAGTGTTTACATAACATTAATTAATTGATAAAATGCGTATGACTCACCGGAAAAATATTTCTGAGGCTATAAAATATAATAAGCAGACAATAATAGAAACTTTTTGTTGCTTATTTACGGAATTGTTTTAATTTTATTTTGCATAATAAAATTACATAACAAAAGACATATGTTATTTGTTAGTAATTGTCAGTGTTATTTACATGAATAATAAATGCATGGTAACATATATTGCAACATATAACAGCTAGTATATTTGTTTATTGAAAAATATCACTGCATTTTCAGTTTTGATTAGTTTCTGATTTAATTTTTCATTGTTTTGCTTTTTGCACCGTAGTGTCATCATTGTTTTTCAACTTATTTATATATAGAACAAAGTTTTTAACTACTATTCATTTCATTTCATACAGAAAAAAGTCTTTTTATGGTAATCCTTCATTTTTGAGGTATTGTTATTAAATAGATAAATAGATAGATAAATCAAATAGATAGAATCAGAAAAACTCGAACAAGTAGACCGGTTTGTGTATCTTGGCAGTCTTATAACTTGTGAAAACAACTGCACCAAAGAAATTGACAAATGGATAGCAATAGCCCATGGAATGTTCGCATCATTAAAGGAAATATGGAAAAGTGTTATCTTTATATATCTATAAAAACAAAGTTGAGAATGATAGAATCTTGCGTTTTTCCAAGCTTGCTCTATGCATGTGAGACATGGACAGTAAAGAAAAGAGACAAAGACAGATTCGAAGCATTTGAGATAAAGTGTTACCGAAATTTGTTGGGAATCAGTAGGAGGCAGAAAGTAAAGAATGAAACCATCAGAAATCAACTTGGAAGACAGAAAAGTGTATATGACAAAGTCAGAGAAAGAAAATTGGGATTTTTTGGAATGGGAGAAGACAGATTGATTAAGATGGTACTAATGAGGAAAAGAGATTGGAAGAAAAAAATTGGTAGACCTGCAAAGAAATGGATAGATGACATTACTGAGTGGACTGGTGTTGGTATTCTGAATTCAATAAAACTGGCCTAAAATAGAAAAGGTTTTTAGAAAGAAAAAAGGAAAAAATAAAAGTAAAAAGCATACTTAGATGTACACCATCAGCCTCGAGGGTCCCTCGATAGACAAAGGAGGATCATTGATTGTTATCAAATATTGTTTGTATCATATATATATATATATATATATATATATATATATATATATATATATATATATATATATGTTGGTAATAGACCATAATTTTTACAATATTCTATAAATTCTACCGAATGTTTGGCGTTAATATGTTTGTAGTTCGTTTTTTCGATTTTTCTCAATAAAGTTTTTTGGTGAACGTTTAGTTTATTAAAATTCAAAATAAACTTATTTTTCGAATTCATGCTGCAAA